TCTCATTAAATCATTCTGACCTGCCTGCAGCGAGAACATATCTAGTGTGCTTTGACCATTAGTTAACATAGCTGCAGCGAGGAAAACAGCTTTTGAGATCTTTGAAGGAAAGAGTTCCATGGCATAAGATGTACATGCTCCACCGAAGTCATGACCAACCAAGATCACCTGCAGATGTTTTACATCAGAAAACATTTTTCAAGAAGATGAAATCATAGAGGCAATCAGAAAACAGAACCTTCTCTCCTGTGGGGAGCTTTTCAAGAACATTAGTAAGTGGCTTCACGTATTGTGACAAGCTTGTGATGCTGTTTATGTTAAAGGAGTTGATACCGCAACCAGCTAAGTCTATGGCTGTAACTTTGAAACCATCTTCTTCTAGGAGGGCAATGGTTTTGTACCAACACCAAGCGCCAAAACCTCCTCCGTGGATGAGGATAAAATGGTTTGTTTCCAAGTCATCTAGCTTTACGCCCTATTCAAAGACAGGAATAAATAGTTTAACGTCTAGATAAAGAATGAAACCAAGAAAATGTATTAAACTGTTTCCTATTTTGCAGGTTGGTGAGGTTTATATGGCACTTAGGGTAAACAGAAACTAAGGATTAAGGTGAACAAGTTGTCAAAACAAATATATATGAAACAGTCTTACATGGACGATAGAACCAACACATGAAGAGGATAACTACAGTTCAACAATGAGATTTGGCTAAAACTAATTGGTAAGATTTTTCAACATCAAGGTTCTCTTTTTTTTTACTTATTATCAGCAGGTTTGGGGTCGAAGCTTGTACCCCGCCAAACCTGAAACCAAGTAATCTTAGTTTCGTCCCAGCAGTCACTTGAACAGGAACCTCTTACACAATGGCTGAGTTCTTTTTTAGCTGAACTAAGCACTTCCAGTGGGGGTTCTTACGTATAAGAACTCGTCTCTTAACTTTTAACTAAAAAAGCTAAGAATCGATTCTTAAATGACTTATTTAAGAACCAGTTCTTAATTTTTTTAGTTAAAAGTTAAGAGACGGATTCTTACCCGTCATAAGAACCTCTCAATGGAGATGGTCTAAGGACCTCAATATCAAAATTCTCATTATTTTTTGAGACTATATATTTTGTCACCACAATCACATTATTGTACATCAAAATTCTCATTATCTTTTGAGACTATATTTTGTCACCACAATCACATTATTGTTCATAATCAATGAACCACAAATAGAGACACCAAGGTTTTCAAGACTGTACCACCAACCTCTAAAGTGGTTGAGCCAACAAAGTACATTAAAGAATCTACTGAATATGAGAATCCAAGTCATTGAATGCCCAAGAAAGTAAACTAATCAATGCTCATCACATGTCACATTGTTAACATACCTAGAGTAAGATACTACACAGAAATCAATTCAAGTTCCAAAGAATGTCTCTATTCAAATACCATTAAGACAACTTAATATCTTACTTGTCAAACTTATAATTTTGAATTAAGACACGAGTTTGACTAATGTCTTTGACTTAGTCAACGAAATATTATTCAAAGTAAAAAAAAAAACCTTGTTAAGAAACTGATGAGGCTGCAACAGAGGATCCGTGGAGGATCTTGACCTTGTGCTGGAGCTTCGAGGCAACTGATTCTTCTTCGAACCAGAAACAGGATAACGTTGCGATGCAGACCGATCAAACGGAAGCGATCCAGGGTCCACGCCTCCGTTCTGCTGTCCGAACAAAATGGCATCTTCGAACTTGTTGTCCCTCGTAGAAGATGATCTGATCCTGTTTCTAGGACCGGAAGATGATCTGGGTACGGAAGGTTGTCGTTTCGTGATGGGTCGTCTCTTTTTGATGGGCTTAGGCGGAGCAAACAAAGAACAGAGGTTTCCCATGTATGATAATGAAAAAAGAGCTCGAGCTTGAGAGATAGAGAGAGAGAGAGAGTAAGAAAGTTTGGGCTTTATGGAGTTTTAGAGAGAGAAGGTGACGTGGCGGGTTCAGGTGAAAGTGAAAGTGAAAGTGGTGGCGAGAAGCTGGCAACTTTTGAATAGCCTTTCTCATCGTGTGCAACCGTGAGTCTAGAGTGGGACCAATGCTAAAGAGGAAAGTACATATAATACATGAGTTATGATATATGAAAATGTTTAAAAATATTGATTTCGTTATTTATATCACTAAAGTACACTTAATTTTTCGGGAACACATCTAAAGTAGTGTAAGAATGAATGAACTATCAAGAATTGATTTGCGAATACTATGTAAATAAGATCAAAACACAAGTAAATATCATGTGGTAATTGGAAGGTCAATAAACATAACTCTAGAACTTTAGAAAATTAACAAACCAACCGTTGAAAGATAATATGATCCACAGTCGAATAAGCAGGTTTAGAGCATCAGCATTAGTGAACCCCCCCTTGGGATTCACAAACTGATTTTTTTTTTATTATTATTTTTTTCGTTTGATCTTTTAAAAAAACAAAAAAAATTAAACTGACCAATCGTGGATCACCACGTGGCGTGGAGCCCACGAAACAGTAGTGAACCAGGTTCATGACAGTGAACCTCTGCGTCCAAGGTTCACCAATTTTGCATTATTTTATTATTTTTTTTCTTAGTTTGTGTGTGAACCTCTCCCATCATCCTTTGATGGAGGTACTCTTAGGTGGTCTATTAACCGTGGAAGGTTGGTCGGGATGTTACAATAATATTATAATTACATTTTGTTTTCTGTAAAGGATTTTATTTAGAAATATATTGTTCTTTTTATGCCCGCACTATTAACAAGGTAAAAACTATACATTGCATACGAACAGTGCCGGCGAGGATTCTATAACTGGGGGTGTTAATACGGTAGGAATCTCTGATGATACATGGACCATATTCATGAGTAAAGGGATCACTATCCAGTATGGGGAACTAGTTGTATTCTATTTCAGGACTGATGGAGCATTGGTTTAAGGTAGTGTGAGATGATTGATGTACTCAAGGGAGTGAGATATAGTTGCAACTTCTAAGCTTCGAGGCAGAGATGGAGAATTAGACAAATTCTAGGAAGTAGCTTTGTGATCCAACTCGTCACAATTAGCACCCTAATTAGACAATTCTAGGAAGTATAATGCGTCAGCTATCCGCTTTTATCCTCCAAAACCAACTTTTGAGGGAAAGTTTTATTTAATTTGACACCCACCAATATTTAGTTTCATCCATTGCTTGTGTAGTACAGTTCTGTCGTAACCAAGGCTTGCTTGTGTAGTACTCTTGTTTGAATAGTTTTTATTATTGAACTTCATATATACTTTTTCACTTGTTTTTTCAATGTATCACACTTTGGTTACATCTCAGATTCTCTGTTAATAGAGCAGTAGTTTCCGTTTAGTTATGATAAAACTTACAATTTTATAAATATTGCAAGGTGTAACGTTCTCGTGGCTGTCCACTTACCGAGACAAAGCACTCCTCCACATTATGCTTCATTAAGATATATAAAAAGACTGATAAATCACGCTTTTATTCAAAATATGATCGCAGAAGATCAACATTTTGTTTGGACCACCACTATATTATATGTAAAAGTAATTTTAGGTTTAGGGAATCAGATCCGAGGCATATGACTAAATATATGTCAAGATATGTACATACTAAGCTTTCATCATCACATAGCATGTGGATTAATCTATTAATGCAATTTGTATGCAATCATATGATAAGTATAAGTGTTTTAAAAAGTTGAACTAGATTTTGATATGCGTTTTGAAAACACTGGAATATTTTGTGATAAAAGATTCATTAACAATTTTAAAAATGTTTTTCTCGTTTGGAAGTTTTTTTTTGTTCAAAATATTTTTTTACATTTAAATCAGTGTTTTTATACTTAGTAAATCAGAGTCTCACTGATAAATTCAGTGACCCGATATGTAATCCAAGTTTGGTCTATAAAAATATCTATTACTAAAAATCCGCACAAAATTTCTAAAACCCGAGACTAACTGGTTAACTGATGAAATATAACCCAATTTGATTTAAATTATTATTCTAAATTTTTAAAAGTCAATTTCAATAGATCTAGTATCCATTAAATATTTAAATACTTCTTAATTTTAACATTATTGTATTTTTATATGTTTTATCTCCAACTTATTACAAAATTGTTTGAATGATCTTTTATGTTTTTATGTGAAATGGGGAAAAAATAAGAAAATATCTTTTAAATAATTCCTATATTTGAAACATGTTTTTTTTATATTGGTATTTGTAATTGTATTTTAAAATTATTAAATTTGTGACTTAACCCACTGTCAACCCAATAAGCCAATAGTATAAGCTTTTGATTAGAAAACATATAACTTATAAATGTTGTATTATTATTATTTTGATGAAACTATATTATAATGGTTTGCATAACTTGTGTAGATCTTTTTTTTTTTTTTGACATCAGATCTTTTTTATTTATTTAAACAAACAATGCTAACTCAAGTGAAAGTTATTTAGTAGAATTGTTTTTTTCAAACGACAACATTTTGCACTTTCTGCTTTTTAATAAGATATATATCCTTTACGTCATTTTCGAACATGTATAACGTGTTACATTATAGAATTGCCAGATAGGATCTATATTAAACATAATTAAATCATTGAAATTTCTAATATTAGCGGAACTATATATTAGGTAATTGTTTTATCTGTAAAGGCGTTTTATATATAAGGTAATGATCAGGTCATATATCCTATATTTGATATCAATTTATTGTTTGAGTTATTATATAATACTCCCTCTGTTTTATAATGTTACAAGTTTAAAAAAATTGTTTCAAAAAAATACATTTTTATATTTCAATGCATGTTTTATAAACTAATAATGACTAATTACAAATTTCAGAAAACTTAATATCACTTACTAGTTCTTATTGGTTTAGGTTTATAAGAACAAAAATAATCACAGAAAATTATAAAGTTTTGATATGTTTTATTAATAATTGTGAAAATATAAAATATGCAACATATTGAAACAAAAGGAGTAGATTATGTAGAGTAACAAATGAGTCCAATTAAAAGATGTAAATGTTTTTGTAGTTAATTAGTTAGAAAAAATTAAGGTAAGACCAAAATATAATAAATATTGTTAATGAATATGTGCAACAACTTTTTTGTAAATAGAATTTTATGGATAATTCTCTTTTAATAATATAAATTAGTAAAAA